CCGCAGTGGGGGGCCTATCGGCGCTAAAAGCTGGGGAAGGACGACATGCGCGCAGGCGGCAGCAGCCCGTATTGGCAAGACGAGCGCTGAAGGAGGTTGGAGTCGTGCGTTTTGTGTGGTTGCGATGCGAGGGGGCTCCGACGCAGCCGAGCGTACATACGAGCTTAATTCCATGGGGTGGGAGTCGTGCAGTGCGGTGCAGAGCAGAGCTGACCAGAGCTGGATGCGCGGGATGTGCGGGAGGGGGGGAGGATGATGATCAGGAGATTTAATGTGGGATTGTGCCGAGAGGATTTGCAAATGGGACGTTGAAGAGAGGAACAGTGAATGGATATGGATTAGACATTATTGGTGGTAGCGGCTACCTAGCTATTGATGTTATTAATATTACCCAAGTTTTACAGCAGCTATTAGTTGTAAGACAGTTGTCAACATGAACTCTCAGCAACATACTTGCATCTGAGCAGTGGTCAGTCTGTAGCATTAGTTGTTATTTGGCGGTACAGGTCCGCGGAACGTCATTTGACAAGCATTCATCCAAAGTAAGCACCAAAACATTATAAAGCAAGCAAAATACAGCAAATCAGCGCCCTTTGCTACAATTCCATCTGGCAGTTCCCGCCGTGGCAAGGAGTCTCGCAACGGCCCCGGAAGTCGGGCCCAATGTTCAGGCACTTGTCACATCCGCAAACAAGATCCAAGTGCGTGCCGACCTTTTGATCGACGTCGTCGCAAAGACAAATGTACAGAGCAGACGAGGTATTTGTAGCAGGGACGTTGTCATTGCACGAAGCGTGGGGAGTCTTGCAGTATGCCTCGGCCAGCTGCTTCTGAGACCAGGGCTTTTCTATATAGAGCGTCTTAATCAGCCAATGACCAGGTTGTTGTATAAAATGCAGTCAAACGGGGCTCGCATAACGTACTCATGCCCATTAGCACAGACGCGCAATAGGTATAGCCGCATTCACAGATGGGCCCCTCCGGCACGGGAGGCTCCCTGGTCGGAGCAGGAGGTGGCGCATCCTTGGACGAGGTCGAAGTGCTAGTCGTCGTTGGTTCCGGCAACTGAGAGGAGAGTGGCGGAGGGGGCGTGTCGGGCGTTGGAATCTGGGGTCTGGGATTGGCGGCAGACAGCCCAACCAGGGCAACTAGAGCGATTGCCAGCTTCATTGTGGGCAGGGTGGTTTATGTAGGTTGTTAAACTCAATTATATAGGGCAGTCTAGTGCAATGTTGTTGGTAGATGAGATCAGATCAGATCAGATTCAGATGTGAGATGTTATCAGTCTCGAGGCGGCTGAAGATGAGGCATTCGTTCGCCATCCCAAGTTTATATAGACATGCTCCTTGAGGGTCGATGATTTAATCCAGTTATAAATAGCACTACGATCCAAAATAGGTGATACCAAATCCTAGAGATCGACAGGAATCTCAAGTTCTAATCCTAACAAGAAGTCATGCTTGTGTTTCCAACTCGGCTCAATGCTCTGCTTTCATCTTCATATTTCGTCACAACACGCCATCGATCCTTTACAATCTCACAATCACCCAACCATCACGTAATAGGCTCTACACCTGGACACGAATTGCAAACAAACATGTAAATTAATACACAATGTTCGAGCTTGACACTTGTGTTGACCAATTGTAGGAACAGCTATTATTAGCAGTCTCCTATTTACATCTTTACCTCGGATTGTCGGTCCCGATGAGCCGACAAAACAATTTCATGCGTGGCAAAAGCCTTAAAACATCCTATATTTGACGATTTCAATTAGAATCAGTTCATCAAGCAGGCAGTACTCGTATATACATAGTCTGCACACATGCCTGTGATCGTCGCCAGTGCATGCAGCGCCTACCCTGCAAATCACAGTGCCGAATTACAATCCACACTGACCAGCACACCTATGCAAGCTCTGCACAGTGCTAATACCCCGCCAATGCAATGCTGCTCACTACCCCTCCATCGGCATTCGGAATCCTTCATCGAGCCATTATCGCCTCCTACGAAAATTGGACTCTCACTCGCACTCTCCTTCTCTCTCTCTCACACTCTCTCAAAATCACAACCTCTCCCAAATCCTCCCCCCAAAATGGCCGACGACAAATCATCAGGCCTCGCACAGGGCCCCACGACCATCAGGGTCGGCACGCGCAACTCGCCTCTCGCCCTCGCCCAGGCCGACCTCGTCGTCGCCGCGCTGCAGGCCGTGCTGCCCGCCTACTCGTTCCCCATCCACGGAATGACAACCACCGGCGACCGCGACCAGACGACGGCGCTCTACAACTTTGGCGGCAAGGGCCTCTGGACGACGCAGCTGGAGGATAAGCTCGAGGCAAACGAGCTCGACATCATCGTCCACTCGCTAAAGGACATGCCCACGACGCTGCCCGACGGCCTGCTGCTCGGCTGCGTCACCAAGCGGGAGGACCCTCGCGACACGCTGGTGCTGAAGAAGGAACTGGCCGACAAACACGGCTGGAAGAGCCTGGCCGACCTGCCGGCGGGAAGCGTCATCGGCACCAGCAGCGTGCGCAGAATCGCCCAGCTCGCGCGACGATACCCGAACCTCAAGTTCAAGGACCACCGGGGCAACATCCAAACGCGGCTGCGCAAGCTCGACGAGGACCCCGAGCTCACGGGCATCATCCTGGCGGCGGCCGGCCTGCAGCGAATGAACCTCGACGCTCACATCTCGCAGTTCCTCGAGCTGGACAACGGCGGCATCCTGCACGCCGTCGGACAGGGCGCGCTGGGCATCGAGTGTCGCGCAGGCGACCAGAAGGTGCTCGACGCCCTCAAGCTCATCGAGGACAAGGACGCCGCTCTGGCAACGGTAGCCGAGAGGAGCCTGATGCGCGCGCTGGAGGGCGGCTGCAGCGTGCCCATTGGCGTCGAGACCAAGTGGGTTGCGCCGGGCCAGCTGAGGCTACGGGCCACGGTCGTCTCGGTGCAGGGCACAGAGGGCGTGGACGGCGAGGCCGTCGAGGCGATTGCCTCGGCCGAGGACGCCGACAGGTTTGGCGAGAAGATGGCCGCCGATCTGGTGAGCAAGGGCGCAAACAAGATCTTGGACGACATCAACAAGAACAAGCCGGCACCACCGGCGCCAGCGAAATAAAAAAAGAAATGCTGGTGTTTGCTGTACGACTATGTATGAATGACACGGAAGGACAAGGACAATGGGAAAATGGATGGAGGGGAGGGAAGAAGGAAAACATTTGCATCATCATCATCATCATCATCATCATAGCTGTTTGATATTTGATATTCTCTTTTTTTTATGACGCCGCTGATAAACCGGCACAGCAAACCAAAAATGTATACCCTCTCATCTGATGTAAAATATGAGCAGCCCATGCTATGGCATGGTAACACCAAATGCGAACTTGTTTGTTTGTTTGTTTGCTGCAAAAAATATACAAGATTCAAAAATCCCTTGCCTCCCTCCGCTGATTACCAGGTTGAACTGTTTTGCTTGTTTTGTTTTACTACACCATTTTCCAGGCCAGCTCTTGTCCCTTGAATGAAGAAGAAAAAAATATTTCTCTTCTTCTTCTCTCATGTCTTTACCCCCCTCTCTCTCTTTCTTGTTTAAAGTGTTCCATCCAGTCCCCATATTTCCAACGCCCATGTCTGTCAAAATCGTCTAATCTTTTAGCCGCCCCCTCAGTTCTTCTTACTCGGAAGTAAACGCCTTGTAGGCCTCGGCATCCAGCAGCTCGTCAAACTGCGCGGCGCCCTCCTCGTCAACCTCGACCTTGACGATCCAGCCGCCGCCGGCGCTGTCGTCCTCGGGCACCTGGTTGATGGTGGCGGGCTTCTCCTCCAGCAGGGCGTTGGTGTGGGTGACCTTGCAGCGGATGGGCGCGTTGATGTCGCTGGCGCTCTTGACGGACTCGACGGCGCCGATGGAGTCGCCCTGGTCGGTCCATTCGCCCGCGGGGGGCAGCTCGACGTAGACGACGTCGCCCAGCTGCTCGGCGGCGTACTCTGAGATGCCAATGACGCCGGTCTTGCGGTCGGCCGAGAGGTCGATCCACTCGTGGTCTTTGGTGTACTTGCGGGCGAGGCCTATAGAAAAAAAAAAAAAAATGCTCAGTTAGTTTTCTTTACAACGGATAGGCTATTCGAGGAGAATGCTATGGACAACATACTCAGACGGGTGCTGGAGAAGCTTCTGAAGGGGGGCATCGCCAGTCGAGCCATCGGAGCAGCTCGGGGCGCAAAGCGCATGGCCACGGGGCGGGCAGCGCGCAGGGAGCAAGCAATTGAGGCCATTTTGTGTTTGGGAAGGAAAGAGATTCTCTGTTTGCCGAGGAAGCCTTTTAGAGAGAGAGAGGAGGTTGAAGAAAAAAAGGAGAAAGCAAAAAGAGAAGATCTTCAATGACGCCCCCCAGAGACGAAAACGAAGAGTAGCCGGTTAATTGTTTGCTCTTATCGGAGGCGCTAAATGGGCTGTTCGGTACGTACACATGTGGGGTTGATTTGCAGAAAAAAAAGAACAAAGAGCTTGGCTTAGTCACGCCGCCATAAAGGTGTATCTCTGTTGGACGTGCCAATAGAGGAACCCGATGCAAGGCGCCGGCACCCGCATCGCTTCTGCTCTATAGCCGGGGAGGACCAATCATGTGCGGCAGTCGAGGCGATTTCGCAGCTGGTGCCCTGGCCTGTGAGGTGCCAATTGGGTAATCATTACCCTACCGGAATGGGGGAATATGGGGATGGCTCTGATGGTTGATAACAGCGGGTCGAGCCGGGTTTACGGAGGAGGAGAGGCGTGAGATTTGCTGCGGGTTGGAGGATTGCGTGACACGGCATGGGATAACGGCAAGGAGAAGAGATGGAATAGTTCATATCACTGAGATGAAGTTGCATAAAAAAAAAAAAACCAAAAAAAAAAGGGCGGAAAATGGTGGCCGAAAACTTCATATCCACCATGGTCACGATAGTCTATAAAGCGCGAGAAAGACTACAAAAGAGCAAAAAAAAGAAGATCTCCAGAAGCGGAATCGAACCGCTGACTTTTCGATAACCTGAATCAATTACAGTCGAACGCCATGAACCAACTAGACCACCCGGAGTTGTATCTTCTTGAAAGAAGCTGCTGCGTATTCAGTTTATAAGAGAACTCTGATGGCATATCTCAGAACGGCTTTGGGTTTGTGTTGCGAAGTTTTTCCCACTATAAAATAGCTTTTCCCACTGTAAAAACAGCTTAATTTCGCGTTAGTCCCGCCCTACAGCTGCTAGCCCGGAGCTCTTTCTCTCTTCTAGCGGCGCCTGGAAGCCCTAAAGCGCAGGTGGTTGGGTCTAGTGGCTTTTTTTTGCTTGGGCTGGATCTTTCGATTTTGCGGTTTGTGATGCGCGCAACGACTCTGTTGAGGCGTAGCCGAAGTAGATCCGGGGGATTGAGTACCAATCAGGTGCTAACTTGGATACTCGTATGATTTGAGATTACTATTTGCTGGAGTTATAGCTATGGAGCTGGACATCGTTAGAAAAGATGCAAGTAGAATATATTGTTTATTCTGTAGATGGGCCAATTTGCTGATAGTTACTACTTGGTGTTGTCGATACAAGTAATAATGCTTGCGAAAGGCCTTCTGGTGAACAGACAAAGTAGATATTCCAGTCTTGATCATCATAGGTCGACTTTCGGCTCATTCATCTGCATTGCGGCTGACCACTTTCATATTCTTGCAATAAATTAATGGCCATGAGTGTGTGTGTTGTAAAAAAAATAATAAGAAATTATGATCGCATATCGCACATAGTTATGACCCATCTTGACCTCGTCGTCGAAAACTCCCCCAATCAAACGCTCATCTCAAACCCAAACATCTTCGAGCCATGACATTACCAAAAACTATACAAGACAAAACGTATCCAGCATGCATGCCAAACAACACATCACATCACATCACATTACATCTCAATCCTAACCACCCTCACAACGCAGTCCTCACCACCTTGCCCATCTCGCCCATATCAACCCTGTCAACCCTCCCCTTGACCTTCCTCCAAATCGCCTCGGCCACATCCTCCACCGGCCTGCTCGCATCCACAACCACCAGATCCTCCTCGTCCTGCCTCCACGACGGGCCCTCGATCCCGCCCAGCTGCTGCAGCAGATCCTGCCCCTTGATGTCCTTGCCGCCCATGCTCAGCGCCCAGAACAGCTCGCGCACCGTCCGCTGCATCTCCTCCTTTTCGTACTTTTCGCTGCCCCAGCCGCCGCGCGACCGGGCCGTCTCCTCGTCGAGGTCCAGGAAGAGCACCAGATCGGGGCGTGGCAGGCCGACGTCCGGGGACCGGGCCCAGGCGAGCGGCAGATGCGGGTTCTTCTTGGCGGCGGAGTAGACGATGCCGGAGTGGTAGAAGCGATCTGAGACGACGGTGATGCCGGCGGCGAGGTATGCTCTGATTTGGTTTCTGGAATGGATTGGTTAGTATCTGGCGATGAGCATATGTCTTGTCGTCTCGAGAGGTGCGTTTTGAACGATGGACGTATATACATATACATATATATGTATACATCGATATACAAGGGATTGTGATGATGAATGATCTAAGACAGACGCAGAGAAATCAACTCACGCAGCTTCCCAGCGGTTGGCACTAAACAGAAGATGAATGGCATGATCGTCCAGCTCAACATTGCTCTTCAAATAGCCATCAATCATCTGCCCAATCGCCGTCGTTCTATCTGCACACATACAATCAATTAGCCATCATCAGACATTTCAATCAAAGCTTCATCATTATTTCACAACAAGACAAAAAAAAAAAAAAGAAAAAGAAGAAAAAAAAAAAAAAACTACTCACCAGGAAACCTCATCACCTTGGCCGGCCTCCCCTCCTCCACAAACCTCTGCTCCAGCAGCTTCACCTGCGTCGTCTTGCCGCTGCGGTCCAGCCCCTCCAGCACGATAAAGGCGCCCCTCTTCTTGGCCGCCCTCGTGCCGTCCTCGCCCGTCTGGCTCGACGACGTAGAGCCCGCGACGGCGGCGGCGGCCAGGTCGTGGATGGAAGACATTTTCTTTTTTCCCTTTTCCTTTCTTTAATGTGATTATTTGCTTTATGAACCCCCTTCTTGATGATGAAGTCTCTACTGCTCGGTTAGCCGTCAATTGGGCTGTAGAAACAAGGATGAAATTGAGAAATGAGGAAAAAAGGCAGAGCTGCGGGCTGGGGGAGCTGCATGAGAGCGAGCTTTCATCATCGCAAGAGATAAGATTGGACGCCCGCACTGTGACACCACTGTGGCTGAGAGATGGAGGTGGCTGGTCTGAAGCACAGTGTAACTAATCCCAGCTTAGATCGGGCATCGCTTCTCAGTTGTCACATTTATACCACCAAGTGGCTGGCTGACGTATCACACAGACAAGACGAATATTGTATATAGAGTTCAAACAATACGATTAATCGTGTACGATACTTGCTACTCTGTTCAAGACTCTAACAAGGAACGGCCACAGACCGGCGCATCAAATCAAGCAACAACTCCTGGTATCACCAATTCCGCACCGAAAACCAGATAACGCCGCCCAGCCCTGGAAGAAGAAAAAAAAAGAGGGCAAAAAAACTGATGCGCCAAAGTCACGACCTTTTTTGAAACAAGGATAAATAAAAAAAAAGAGAGAAAAGAAAAATACAAAAGAGTAAAACAGGCCAAACACAGTCAGAGAAATTGTTTTAAAAAAAGAGGAAGATGAGAAAAAAAAATGGCTCAAACAGAAAGGCTCAAATGCTTGCTTGCTCTTCATCCAGCGTTAGAAAGCGTACACTCATTCCCTCGTTGATTATGCGAAGTCGATTGCAAACACAGCTCCTTACGGGCTCTCAGCCTCATCCTTGGCGCTGCCGCTTTCCCATAGCTCAAAGCTCTCGCCTGTGCCTTCAATGGGCTGTAGTACAGCGGCCTTGGATGATGAGTTGTCTGGTCTTGAGATGAGGTCATCAATATCCTCGTGAATCTCAAGCTCAGGTTCCTCGTCTTCTTCGTGTTCCTCTTCCTCTTCCTCTTCAGGAATGTTTGAAATGGCAAGAGGGGCTTCCGGCTCCTCGTCATCCTCGTGGATTAGAATCACCGACGTCTCATCACAGCCGTCGGCGTAAAAGTCGGCGGCATTCATCTCTCCGAGCGCAACTCGCTCCTTTTCAATAACCATCTCCTCGCCCTTGGGCTGGCTGGTCTGCTGGGCTGAAGTCTGAGAGACGTCATCTGGAGGAGGAATGTTCTCCTTGTCACGGCCTTCGGCACCATCTCGCTTGGCGCGCTGCTCAGTCTCCTCATCGGATGAGATGTCGAGTGTGCAGGTGCTGTGCTGGAGAAGGTTGGTCATCTCTTGTTCAGGGGTATCTTCATGAATGTCGAAGAACCAGCTGGACTTGGCCTCAGGCTCGAGCAGGCTAGACATGGGCTTCCTGGCAGCAGGCTTGGGGGTGTACCCCGCGATGGTGCCCTTCAAAGCAGCGTCGAGAGAAAAGGGGGCAGAAGAAGAGCCCATAAATGAGGGAGGGTCCAGGCGAGTAGTGCGTCGCCGGCTCGACAGCATTCCTGAGCGCTTACCACGAGTCGGTGAGCGACCGGCTGGAGGAGGGCAGGACTTGGGAGTGGCGTTTTCAGAGCCGAGCTTGCTCAGGCATGATTTGGCACTGAGAATGCGTCGAGGCGTTGAAGCAGCCTTGACTGGAGTGGCGAGAGAAGACCGCACAGGAGTGCTGATCTTGGGAGTGAGAAAGTAGTTGGAGGGCTTGAGGCCATCCTTGGCAGAGCTGACGCCCTTGGAGCGCTTGGAGAAGAGCAGCGGATCGACATTCTCGCAGTTGTCAATCTCGAGAAACTCTGCCTTGCGCTTTGGAGAAACGGGCGCGGCTGAGCGATGGAGTTAGCCAGACGTTATCCATGTCAAGGCTGGGAAGTGCGCATCTGATGCTGCCGCTGCCACTTTTTCATCGCACAAATTCAACGCAACAACATACCGTTTTGTCTGTTCTTCAGACTGGTTAATGATTGAAGACGGGCTCCGTCCAGGGGAGCAAACGGCTGGCGAGTGACGGCGGCCATGGTCGATGGCGAATTAAAAGAAAAAAAAAGGCGCTTCAACTTTGCGATTTCGATGCGATGCGAATTCGATGTAAAGCGAAATGCGATGATGCGACAAGTTGCACTGGTTCCACTCCGAGAACCGCCCTTTCGAACTGGTGTGGAGGGAGAGCAAAACAGATGATCGATGGCAGAGATTTGAGATTTGAGGGCAGCAGATGATTCACAGTAAAGGCGGTAAGGTAGAGATGAGTATCAATTAGTTGGATATGAGGCGAGAAACGGGCTTTGCAGATTAATTTTTTTTTTTCTCTTTTTTCTTTTTTTTCTGTGCTTGTGGTATGTATTCGCTTCAAAAATCCTTGGAATGAATCGTCCTCTTTTTTTTTTTCCTTTTACACCAGCCTTAAACGAACGTGTTGGTGTGTGTATGGCGTTCTGAGAGAGTGAGAGCCGGAATAAACAAAAAGGATGAGGGGAGGGAAGAGGCAGCGCGAGAAAAGCAGGCCCAAGTGGGACACAGCGAGTACTAATAAACAAGCAACGCAGCGAACACGCCGCGAGATGGACGTGAAGCGAGAATGAGAGGCGACGAGGGAGGGCTGGCCAGGGAGGGGCGCAGAGGGCGGTACAAGTCAGACGCCGCAGGGCTCCGGCGCTGGCATGTGTCTGCGACACTGCCGCCAGCTGCGCCGGTACTTGGCGGCGAGGTATCTGCGTTTGTAGCCCTGAGGTACCGCTGCGGGGCAGAATGTGTGGGAGAGACACGCAGCTGCGGCTGGCGAGTAACCACTGCGCACCAACGGGCGTTCCAGCAGGCGATGGTACACAAGGCAGTCGCCGGTACCTGGTGGTCCGTGCGCGGATTGGCTGAAGGGAGGTACCGCAAGACGCGCCTCACACGCCGATGGGTTTTCACTTTAATGGGACGGGACGGATGGCCCTGAAGAGTGGGGGGCCCAGCAGTAGCTTCAGGGAGCTTTCAGGGGACGTTGGAGGGAGAAGAGAACTGGAGGAGCGGAGTTTTCACAG